TATATATATATATATATATATATATGATTAAGGTTAAAGGTTAATCTTCTAGAGTCATACATAACCAAAAACTCACAAAAACAATTTTTTGAGAAAACACATTAGAACTAGTATTCTATTACCATTTGTCGTTCGTTTGAGTGTGGATACTTGTAAAGGGTGGTCGTCTTTCAGAAATTCATCACTTTAATGATCTAAAGAGAATTAGAGACAATAAAATAGGATATTTGAACCAAAGATTAAGATAATCCCACAACTTTATTTTACAGCAACTAGTATGATATGCATAAGATCTTAGGATTGATCGAGGTAATTTTTGAATACATGTCGTTTTCTTTACCCCGATTTCGTTTCATGTAGAGGTGTAAACGAGCCGAGTCGAGCTCGAGTATTGCTGAGCTCGACTCAACTCGAAAACTCTGAAATGGAGCTCGACTCGACTCGAAAACTCGCGAGCTTAAAATTTTTAAGCTCAACTCGAAATCGAAATCCTGAACTGAAGCTCGTGAGCAACTCGAAAAGGCTCGAAATGAAAAAAAAAATTCTTAAACTTAATAAGATTGAATCCTCAAACTAAAACTCGAACCTAAATCTTAAATACATGAAATCCTTATTGTATTTAAAAAAAAATCAACACATAAATATTAATATTATTAATAATTTATTTAAAAAAAATAAATTATTAATATATTATATATTTTTGAGCTGCTCACGAGCTTTTCGAGTCGAGTATCAAGTAGCTCGTTTTGGCTCGTTAAGAATTCGAGTTGAGCTCGAGTTCGAGTCGAGTCCATTCGATCCGAGTATTTATCGAGCCTTGACCGAATCGATCTCGAGTAGCTCTCGATCTGTCTCGTCTCATTTAAGCCCTAGTTTCATGTGTATGGGTGAGACAAAGCAATAAAATGAGCATTCTTAGTGAATTTATCTACCACAACTAGGATGCAATCAAACATCATAGGTCGTGGAATACCCTCGATGAAGTCCATTGTAATAACTTCCCATGCATTTTGAGGAACATAGAGGGTTATAGCAGTCCTGGTTTGGCAATATGTTCAGGTTTTGTTCGTTGACAAATCTCACAACTTCGAACATGTGTAGTAACAATTTTTTTCAAACCAGGCCAAAAGAAATGAGCCTTTAGTCTCTGATAAATGCCCTGAATTCCCTAATGACCTCCTTGAGGAGAGTCATGCAAAGCCTGGATCGATTTGTCTCGAAGATTTTCAGTACTAACTACATAAATTATATTTTTGTAATACAATACTTGTTTATTTAACTTCCAATCAAAATTAGAATCTCCCTGAATAGTAATCGTTGGGAATTTTTCCATAGCCATTACATCTGCAGAATAGTTGTCCTTAATTTTTGTCATCCGAGTAGGGGTAATTAGTGTAATTCCCACTGAAAAATTTTCATGTTTCCAATTGCTGTCTCGAAAGAGCATCAGCCACAATATGTGATTTACCTTTCACGTACTGTATTTTATAATTGAGTCCCAATAATTTTGTCAAGTCCTTCTTATGAATTGTAGTAGTTGACTTTTGCTCCAACAAGTGTTTCAAGGGTTCGTGATATGCTTCTATAACAAACTGACCACTTTCCAAATAATGCCTCCAATGAGAACTGCAATTAGGATCGCCAAATATTCCTTCTCATAAATGGAGAGGTCTACATGTCTCGGGCCCAGAGCTTTGCTCAAGTAAGCAATAGGTCGACCTCCTTGAGATAGTACTGCCCAAATACCTTTTGAGCTGGCATCAGTTTTCAAATAAAAAACTTTGGTGAAATCTGGCATTGCTAAGACTGGAGCATGACACATCACTTTTTTGAGTTGCTCAAAAGCAAACTTTCTCTCGACGTTCTAAGGAAAGCCCTCCTTTTTTAACATATTCGTCAAAGTTTTACTCAGTTTACCATATCCTTTGATAAATTTCTTGTAGTAATCTCAAAGCCTTCAGGTTTTCACAAAAATACACTGAATAAATTGTTCATCAATGATTGAAAAGTAGCAGGAGTTTGTTAGACTGAAAGACATCACCTTAAATTTAAAGTGGTCATGATGAGTCCGAAACTCAGTCTTCAGAATATCTTCTGGTTTGATTCGTATCTGTCAATAGCCTGAACGTAGGTCGATCTTCGAAAAATAAATATCCCCATGTAACTCATCCAACAAATCTTCCACGATAGAAATAGGAAATTTATTCTTGACTGTCAGTGAATTTAGTTCCCTATAATCAAAACAGAATCGTCAAGTGTCGTCATTCTTTTTAACCAATAAACATGGAGACATAAAGGGACTTTTGTTGATTTGTATGATCGAGGAGGACAATATCTCAGTAATATGTTTTTCAACCTCGGCTTTGTGAAGATGGGAAAATCTATAAGGGCGTAAATTTACTGGTTAGGCATCTGACTTCAGTGTGATAGCGTGGTCTTGCTTCCTGATTGGTGGCATTCCTTGAGATTCCTTAAAAACCTCTCGAAACTCGGATTCGATCTCACATGGCACAGTGGATTCTGTAGGTTCGACACATAAATTGTAAATTTTTCTTGTCAATTCACTATCCTTTGCTGCCATTTTCTTAATTATGTATGCTGAGATTGTTTTGATGATGGTTCTGTGTTGATTTCCTTGAATGAGCGCCTCTTGGTCATCTTTAAGAAGTTTCATTGTTTGAAATTCATCTCGATAGGACTATAATGACGCAACCAGTCAATCCCCAGTATCATATCACTGCCTCCTAAATTTAAACTAAAATATCGTGTTGAAATTCATATCCCTGCATTCTCTAAGTTACTTGATTGCTTTTGGTTGTGCTAAATAATTCTTCCTCATTAACAACTGTGATGGCTAAAGGCTGAGTGTGAACTACCTCATCTCCTTTGGCTCATTTAGGGGTTAAAAAACTATGAATGCTCCCACTATCAATCAGAATACTTAGTGGTCTGTCCTAAATAAGTCCTGTTTTTTTAATGTAGTTGCTCCTACAATTTCGTTGAGAGCATGAATTGAAATTTGTAAGGTTCCTTCATCCTGTTCACCATCACCACAGTATTTTATTGTATCGGATGTTCTGAATTTAAAGGAAATCTATCAGCATTCAATTCTTTTTCTTCCTCCATCATGTTCAACTGTTTTTGTTTACACTGATATCAAAGTCCATTAGCTCACTGAGATGACTATCCAGCTCAGTTGCTAGAGCACAAGGTTCTTAACCTTGAGGTCGATCGAGTGTCACGGAGGGCATTTCATAATTCGGAGGTCTTCTACGGAAGCTACTCTCAACCTGGTGTTGGGGGCAGTCTACTATCTTACCTCCCCTTACCCCATTACATATGGGAACAAGGGACAACCATTTCCATTAGGTCACTTATAATCCACCAGTAGTTGTCTAGTAGAACTGGAAGATTGGGTAAATTTATGAGCTGTACCCATAGAAATTGCTTGAAACTTTTGATTGTGACCTGAATTGATAAAAGAATTTGGCTTGAAAATGGTTGTCTTTTCTATTTTCCACCTCTAAGGACAACTCATAGATTTTACCTTTTCTGCTGGCCTCAGCCACCGTCTTAGGTTCACAGATTTTATGTTCGATTTCCTCCTTGAGACCACTCAAAAAGCATGACACGAAGTAGTCCTCCCAAGCTTGGATTAATTTGAAGGATAAAAGGCTGAAGTTCCTCAAATTTGTTTTCATCATCCTCCACTGAAGATGTTTGAGTGTTAAACCAAATCTCAAGTTGAGCATATTTAAAATATTTGGATAAATTTATCATTTTACTCTTATAGTATGGATCATTTAGACTTGATGTCGAAAAGCTATCTCTTAACACATCATATTTAAATTATTCGAAGGTATCCAATTATATGTTTATTCTGTGACACGTTATATGACTCTTAAATTTGTGGCCCCATGTATGAATATCATTCAAGTTAATTTATGTAAATAGGGATGGATTGAAGGAAGCGGGTGGGATAGCACCCTTTAAAATTTTAAAATTATCATATATTTTTTATTAAAAAAATTATTTTTGTCCTCTGAAATTTTATAAATTTGTCCATCCTAAAATTTTAGAGGTTCGTCCCTTGGCATAAAATTATGCTTCTGTTGCTACACGTACAAGTTCCGTTTGGTTCCGGGGAAAGTGACAGATAAAGTTGCAAATGAAGATTTTAACCATATCTTTAACCGTTTTCTATAATGAATTTTGGTAAAAAGACATAGTATATCTCTCATAATTTTAAATTTAAAAAATTAATTTAGGGATCTTAAAAAGTAGCACAAGACACTCGTCTTTTCGGACGAGCCTGATTATTCGAATAGTAGGTACATATATATTTGTAAATTGATCCACGTATTTTAAATAAATTCAACGTCATATTAAATTGATATTTAATGTCCAAACTAATAATTAGGTGGATTAAAACACTTGACTGATTCAATACAATATTTCATACTTTCATAAATTAGTTAGAATATTTTGAAGCTTGAGAGGCAATTTGAAATAAGTTAATTGTACAAAATATTCTCAAACTGCATCTAAATTTTAAATTGATACCTAAATTTTAAAGTATTCTAATTGAATTATCTATCTATTAATATTATTTCAACCAAGTTTCTTATAGATCTAATAATCTATTTAAGTATTAAATATAAATTCGAATCAAACGTAAAACATATTTATAATACATAAATTAAAATATAAATAATTTTTTTATATAAATACTGCATGCACAATTTAGATCTTACATTTAACGTCTGGCTAATGATCAATTTAAGGAAAGGAGAGAAGACGCTCAAGCCTACGCCACGAGTGTCTAGACAGGGGATCCAACCGATACGTCAACTTGCAGAGGACAACGGTGAACCGGGTTTATTAAACTATTGCGACAGCTAAAGGCTAATTTTGGTCAGAAAGACGGTAAAAAAAACTGGGTTCCATCATGTCTACACATGTTATAGTTCTTTTATAGGAATTCAAGTAAATATCTTTTGAATTTTTCCATGTCTTTGTCATCTTATTTTATATTTTTAAAGTCGTTCACGTTATCACCAGAATTTGGTTCCTAGTTTTTCTTGAAATTCTTGGTGGATTTACTTTACAGGAAAAGTAGACAATTTTCTTCTTTTTAAGTTTCTGATTTTTCGCCTGTTTAGTTGAATCTTTGAGGAACAGTTTCGCGCGAACTTCATTGCCATCTGCGGTTCCAGTTTCAGATTCCGATCTCGTTTTGGATTCAGTCTTGCCAAAATGGCGAAGCGTGGATATAAGCTGCGTATCCTTAAGCTTACATTCTCGTTGTTTTTGTTGTTATTGCAATTAAAATACTTAGCTTTCATTTTTTAAGTTCTGAAGTGATTCGCTTTAGCTTATTTTGCATTTTCTATGAATTTCAGCTTAAATTTCTTTCCTTTTTTAGATATTTTTATTATGATTAAAAATTCCATGTTTGCTATTTTAAGCTTATTACAAAGATTTCTTCATTAACAGATAATGCTGGTATGAAACTAATCTCATGTTGAATAGGAAACGTTTGCTTCATTTGTCTAAAAATAAAACTTTGAAGGCTTTTTTTTTTTTTTTGCTTCCATGACAAAATGAATGTAGAGGAATTTGTGGCTCATACAACAAATGTGAATTGTCTAAGTATGGGAAAAAAGACATGTAGGCTTCTTATTACCGGCGGAGATTATCATAAAGTTAATGTTTGGTCAATTGGAAAACCTTCTTGTCTAATGGTAAGTTTTCTATGTTTTCCCTCTTACTTCGATTCTTTCCAAGTTTAGCTTAGGATATGGTATCTCTTACAGGCTAACACTTTTTTTGTTGCTTGAAATCACATTTTGGATTAATAGACGCCAATAAGGGTTAGTTTTTATCTCGAAAATTTATTAAGGGTATGGTAACATACATGTTAATGTGCAGAGCCTATGTGGTCACACTAGTCCGGTGGAATCTTTAGCATTTGACTCGGCAGAAGGCTTGGTGCTTGCTGGATCATCTACTGGTGGGATAATGCTTCGGGATCTGGAAGAAACAAAGAGTGAGTCTTTGATTCCGCCTTAGGAAATGTTAATTGCCTTCTCTATCAGTTAGTTGTTGAACGAAAACAGTGTCATGGTGGGAGCTTTTTAAACATAAAGAACAATGTTGGATAAGTTATTTCACAGCTCGAACTCTTACTTTTGAACTTTCATTTGTTTAAAACATGGAATGTCTGGATCACAGGATTTTATTCCAAACTGAAATTAAGTAAGAATCAACTTGTAAAAAGCTTGATGTTGTTCTTGAAGTGTAGTGATTCGCTGGCTTACCGGACACAGATCTAATTGCACTGCCTTGTTTGGTGAGTTCTTTGCATCTGGTTCCATGGACGCAAATCTAAAGGTTTGGGATATCAGAATGAAGGGACGCATTCATACGTACAAGGGCCATACTAGAGGCGTTAGTATGATTAGATTCTCTCCTGATGGCCGCTGGGTAGTTTCTGGTGGATTGGATAATGTTGTAAAGGTAAATTAGGAACCATACCATTATCTGTGTTGAATGAATCATCAATTCTGTTTATCTAATCATTTCACATTTGTATCCCGTCACTACTGAAAAGGTGTGGGATCTTACTGCTGGAAAACTCTTGAATGAGTTTAAGTTTCATGAAGGCCTTATTCGCACCATAGACTTCCATCCTCTTGAGTTTCTCTTAGCCACAGGTGAGTCTTTTACTTCAGTACGAATCAGTGGGTTTATTATAGTTTCATTTTCCTTTTTTCTGCATTGCGTGTCATTTCATGCTTGATGAAAATTGTTTTTTCAGGTTAAGGTGGGATAAACTTCCTTAACTTGCTGCAATGATCAAATCTTTTTCAGTAAGCTTTTAACTATTAGGTCGGTAAAATGACTTGGCTGTCCATGTCTCATGCATAAATTTTCTGTAAATATATTGAAAATTCAGACTGCAAATTTGTTCCTTTTATCATATTGTATGTGGAATTTGTAAATATTTTTTTTGGAATTGTTTACTATCTTGAAATCTGTTAGGAAAATAAACCGAGTACAAGTAATTTCCCTATAACCAGATTAGTGAGAATGCGAAATAAAAGCGAAAAAATAATACCCGAAAATTGATAACGGAGTTCAGCCAATTGTGCTTACGTCTCCGGGCTGCTGCAGATCTTTTACTAAGAGAGAAAAATTTACAGGTGTTTACAAAACACTCACTACTCACAAGAAAGCTCTCTAGTATAGGAAGAAAGAAATGTTTTGGGATGATTTTGAAGCTAAATGGGTAAGGGTATTTATAGTAGAAACTTAGGGACTAATCTTTGAAAATACCCTAAAGTGCAATGACTAAAGTGAATTGACCCATTCATATTTTCAACAAACATCTACCAAAATTTTACCAAACTTTGAAAAACATTTTTCAAAGAAACATTTTCCAAAGTTGGTTGCCAAACTTTGAAACTTTTAACAATCTCCCACTTGAAGACTGATTTTAATATGTCTTCACACCTCGATCAATGCAACAGCATGTCTGGTCTTGTTATTCTAGCATGCCAACTGAAGCTGAACACAACTTCAGTTTGTCCGTAGTCACCGTCTTTGTCAACATGTCTGCCGGATTTTGAGCTCCACTAATCTTTTCAAGTTTCAAAATCCCATCTTCCAGAAGAGACCGGATAAAATGATATCTCAATTGTATGTTTGAGCCTGCAACGAGCATGTCATCAACGTACAACAATAAAATAATGAAACTATTGTCGAACTTCTTGATGTAGCAACAATGATCTGCTTGGCATCTGGTAAAACCACTGCTACTCATGAAACTATCGAACTTCTTGTACCACTGTCTAGGAGCTTGTTTTAAACCATACAAGCTCTTCTTCAACCTGCATACCAGGTTTTTCTTGCCTGCCTTTATGAAGCCTTCTGGCTGCCTCATATAGATCTCTTCCTCCAAATCACCATGAAGGAAAGCTGTCTTTACATCTAACTGCTCAAGATGTAAATTATCCGCAGCTACAATTTTCAACACCAGTCTGATTGTAGACAGTTTTACGACTGGAGAGAAAATTTCATTGTAGTCAATACCTTCTTTTTGCTGAAAACCTTTGACAACCAATCTTGCTTTGTAGCGTTTTCTCCCATCATGTTCTTCTTTGATCCTGTAAATCCACTTGTTATGGAGCGCTTTCTTGCCTGGTGGTAATTCAACTAATTCTCACGTCTTATTTGACATAAGCGAGTCCATCTCATCTTTCATGGAAGACTCCCACTTGACTGAATCCTCCACCTGCATTGCTTCATCATAGCACTATGGTTCACCATTGTCAGTCAGCAACAAATAGTGCAAGGAAGGCGAATACCGTTGGGTTGGTTTAGGAATTCTGGAGGAGCGTCTCAGTTCTGGTGTGTGTGGTTCTTCTTGAACTGCTTCAGGATTGATCTGAACATCATTTCCATAAATCTCCTCGAACTCAGCAAATTCCTTTGTTTCAGCTTCGGTATTACTTGATTATGCGGTTGACCTATCTTTTTACATCACATTTTCATTGAAAATGACGTCTCTGCTTCTGATGATCTTTCAATTTTCGTAGTCCCAAAACCGGTAACCGAACTCATCACCACCGTAACCAACAAAGACGCATTTGTTGGACTTGGCATCAAGTTTACTTCTTTCAGCAGAGTTTATGTGTACATAAGAAATACAACCAAACACTCTTAAGTGTGAAAGGTTTATTTCTTTCTTGCTCCAAGCTTCCTCTGGTATTCCGCCATCCAAAGGAACTGAGGGCCCATGGTTGATCAGGTAAGCTGCAGTGTTGATAGCTTCAGCCCATAGAAATTTGGGCAATCCGGCATGTATCCTCATGCTTCTGGCACGTTCATTCAGAGTTCTGTTCATGCGCTCTGCTACGCCATTCTGCTGCGGTGTTATGGGAACTGTTGTCTCCATCTTGATCCCATTGTTTGCGCAGAAATCTCTGAAACTACTGTCTCTGTACTCTCCTCCATTGTCGGACCTCAACCGCTTGACTTTCAAACCAGTCTCATTTTCCACCATGGCCTTTCATTTTCTGAAGGTATCAAAGACTTCTGATTTCTTCTTCAGAAAATAAACCCACACCTTCCTTGTTGAATCATCGATGAAGGTGACATAATATAGTGAGCCTGCAAGAGATGGAACAGGGGATGGTCCCCATACATCAGTATGAACCAATTCTAACCTTTATGCCTTGGGAGTCTTGCCAATCTTTGTAAAACTGACTTTCTTTTGTTTTCTAAAGATGCAATCCTCGCATAGTCCGACATCTACATTCTTTAGATCCGGCAGCTTCCCTTTTGACAGAAGTATCTTCATTCCTTTCTCGCTCATATGGCCGAGCCTTTGATGCCATAGGTTTGATTTTCCATCAGCATCTGCTACTGCAATGATATTCTCTAAATTTGAGGTTACATAGAGAGTACCGGTCTTCTTACCACGAGCAATGATGAGTGCTCCTTTGGTAATCTTCCATTCACAGCCTGAAAAAATTGTACTATATCCTTCTCCATCAAGCTGTCCAACAGAAATCAGATTTCTTTTGAGGCCAGGAATATATCTCACTCCTGTCAGCTTCCAGGTGGTCTGGTTTGGAAGCTTTAGTCGGATGTCTCATTTTCCGACGATCTTCAAGGTTTCATCATCAGCTAAATGAACCTTCCCAAAATCACCACTGACATAGTTCTCCATGATTTCTCGGCATGGGGTGGAGTGGAAAGATGCCCCTGAATCCAAGATCCATGATTCAATCGGACTGTTGACGCTTAAAATCATGGCATCACCTGTCTCCTCCGTCATGTTGGCAGATTCCTGTGCGCCGGTATTTTTCTTCGGTGCTCGGCAATCTCTTTTGAAGTGACCCTTCTTGCCGCAATTATAACAGGTAAAATCTTTATTTCCTGTTCTTGATTTGCCCCTTCTGGATTTTGATCTGCCACGATTTGAATTTCTTTCTGAAGTTCTCCCTCTAGACTCCGTGTGCAAGGCTGAGGAGGTTGATGCTTCACCCGATTCTCTTCGTCGAATTTCTTCACTCAATACCAGATCCCGAACATCGTCGAATTTTAATTTGTTGTTTCCCGACGAACTGCTGACTGCTGTAACAGTAGCATTCCAACTGTCTGGTAGAGATGATAAGAGAATTAAAGCTCGAACTTCATCATCGAACTCAATTTCCACTGAACTCAATTGGGTTGTGATTGTGTTGAGTTCATTTAGGTGTTGTGCCACTGATGCCCCTTCCGCCATCCGCAAATTGAATAATCGCCTCATCAAATGAACTTTGTTTGAGGCCGATGGCTTCTCGTACATACTGGAGAGAGCCGCCATAAGACCCGTCGTGGTCTTTTCCTTTGCTATGTTAAAAGAAACATTGCGGGATAACGTCAGTCGGATAACTCCGAGGGCTTGTCTGTCGAGAAGAGCCCAATCTTCATCCTTCATGCCCTCTGGTTGCTTTCCTGAGAGAGGTTGATATAGATTTTTCTGGTACAAAAAATCTTCAATCTGCATCTTCCAAAAGCCAAAGTCCGCACCATCGAACTTTTCAATTTTCACCTTCGTCTGCAGCCATCGCTCCCACTCGAATCTGGCTTCGTTTGGATCGTTTCTGACAATTCTTGTGAATCACCGTGTATTAGAACACCACCGTCGACAAACTCGTATCGCCGACCGAATTTCACTATTCACGAAATTCACTATTCATGTGAATAGTAATGAATAGTAACCTCACAGAAAATTTGACAAAATTCACAACCAAAAGCTCTGATTACCAGTTGTTAGGAAAATAAACCGAGTACAAGTAATTTCCCTATAACCAGATTAGTGAGAATGCGAAATAAAAGCGAAAAAATAATACCCGAAAATTGATAACGGAGTTCAGCCAATTGTGCTTACGTCTCCGGGCTGCTGCAGATCTTTTACTAAGAGAGAAAAATTTACAGGTGTTTACAAAACACTCACTACTCACAAGAAAGCTCTCTAGTATAGGAAGAAAGAAATGTTTTGGGATGATTTTGAAGCTAAATGGGTAAGGGTATTTATAGTAGAAACTTAGGGACTAATTTTTGAAAATACCCTAAAGTGCAATGACTAAAGTGAATTTACCCATTCCTATTTTCAACAAACATCTACCAAAATTTTACCAAACTTTGAAAAACATTTTTCAAAAAAACATTTTCCAAAGTTGGTTGCCAAACTTTGAAACTTTTAACAAAATCAATGTGTTATTGGGAGTATCATAATTGATGGTGACCAAAAATTTCAGGTTCAGCGGACAGAACAGTTAAATTCTGGGATTTAGAAACCTTTGAACTGATTGGATTTGGGTCTACGAGATCTGAGGTATACAAGCTTATTTGTCTCCAAGCTACAAGCGTAGAAGCTTGCACTTCCTTCTTTGTCACAGTCCCCTTTCCAAGTATGAGAAACTTATCCTCTCACTTCAAAGGAAAAGAAAAAAGTAAAAAGAAAGTATCATTATTTATAATAAACCTTTTTCATTGTAATTTTATATGTTCATTCTTTTCAGGCTACTGGGGTTTGCTCAATTGCCTTTCATCCTGATGGGAGAACCTTATTCTGTGGAGCCGATGATGGTTTGAAGGTTTTACGCTCTGTCGTAAAGCCAGTCTGATTCTATCTGAATTAAGCAAAAATCTGATTTTTTATTGTCAAAACTGTAGGTTTATTCGTGGGAGCCAGTAGTTTGTCATGATTCTGTTGATATGGGATAGTCAACACTTGGCGACCTTTGCATCAATGAAAGCAAACTTTTGGGTTGCTCGTATTATCGAAATACTGTTGGAGTTCGGGCAGTAGATGTAGCGGTATTTACAATCTATGTAACACGGGGACGGCATACCAGTCTTGTTTCAAGTACCTAATACGTTCCCGGCACGGGGACGTGCCACGGTGGCAGGATACGGATGAAAAATCTCGGGGACAGTCGATCGGGATATGGGGACGTTTCGAGAACAGTATGTGTTCCCAGGGACAATTTTAGCATTTTGCATTAAAAAAAAATTAAAAAAATAAAATAAAACCTAATTATATCGCTGTGCTTAGCTGTTAGCATTTACGCTTCTCCAGTCCAGTTCTCCTCTTCGCTTACAAAGGAAACTGTGAAGCAAGGTGAAACACCCAAAGTCCCAAACTAAAACAAGGTAAGCAGCTTTCTCAATCGGTGCTTATTTAATTATTTTGGGTTCTAATTTTAGTTTAGTTTGGAGGTGGGGTGAAATCTTATTTTGGAGTTCAAACTCTCCCAATATTTTCACTCTTATCTTTCTAAATTGAAATCCAACAAAAGAGTCATTGAGTTTTTAACCACTCGATTCAACATGTGTTGTTACCTCATCTTTATTTCTTCAACTTTTTGAAATTTTTAGCTAATGATTTAATTTAAAGATAATAGAAGTATATAACAGAATGTACAAACTTGTAGTAACTTTAGATAATAGAACAGAATGTACAAACTATTAGATAATATAACAGAATGTACAAACTATTAAGATAATAGAACATAATGTACAAACTATTAAACAATGACAAAATTTGCTCTCTCAGTCCATTGCATTCCTAATTGTGTTCATCAAAAGAAGGCACGAGAAAGGGAAGCACTTTGAGTTAGGGGGATTGAAAAATATAATGAAAAATTAATTTTAAATTATTTAGTTTAACTATTTATTGTTGTTAAAAATATTTTGGGTTTGGTGCTTCATTACGAGATGAAATTAGAGTTTGGTACAAACAGTTTGGTGTTTCATCAATTAATTATGTTATTAATTTCATTATTTGTTCATTGATTTGTTTCATTCTGCTTTTTGTTTAATGTAAACATATTAATTTAATATAAATATGACATCTCAAAGTGGTAGTGGGACTGGAAGTAATAGTGAGAGTGGATTAATTTCATCGTCCCAAAATGAGAATTTATCTCCATTATGGAATTATGTGACAAAGATAGAAAAGCGAGGGACTGTTGGATGAATTTGGAATTTTCGATGTAACATTTGCGGCGAAACTCGTAATGGAAGCTATACTAGGATAAAGATACATTTGCTTCAAATTGCAGGTGAATGAGTTGTAATTTGCAAAAAGGTAACTACAAATCAAAAACTTGAAATTGTAAGGTTAGTAGAAGAGTGGGAGAATATAAAGAAACAAGGAGTAACCAGAGAAGTTTCTTTGCCCTCTCAATCTTCAGCTGAAATTGAGATTAATTATTTTTCTAAGAAGAGAAAACCTAGCTTGTCACCTCTTGCTAGATCATTCGACATGAATACGAGAGCCCAATTAGATGAAGAAATTGCAAGAATGTTCTATACTAGTGGTTTGCCCTTTAATCTTGCTAGAAATCCTCATTATCATAGGTTTTTCACTTTTGGTGCAACTCACAATATTCCTGGTTATAATAAATTGTGAACCACATTACTCCAACAAGAAAAAATAATGTTGAGAAGCTCTTGCAACCGATTAAATCAACATGGCAAGAAAAAGGTTAACTATTGTGAGTGATGGTTGGAGTGATCCAACAAGAAAGCCTCTCATTAATTTCATGGCTATTTCTGGAAATGGGTCTATGTTTTATAATGCTGTGAATTGTTTTTGTGAAGTCAAAGATAAATTTTTCATTGCTAATTTGATGAAAGAAGTAATTGATGAGGTTAGTCATCAAAATGTGGTGCAGATTATTACTGACAATGCAGCTAATTGCAAGGGGCAGGAGAGATTATTGAGAACATGTATCTTCATATTTATTGGACACCATGTGTTGTCCATACACTTAATCTTGCCTTGAAGAACATTTGTTCAGCAAAAAATATCGAGGGAAATAAGGAAACATATGACTTGTGTCATTGGATTACTAATATTTATGGGGATGTCGTACAAATCAATAATTTCATCATGAACCACAACATGAGATTGGTATTCTTTCAAAGATTTAGTCCTCTTAAGTTACTTTCAGTTGTCGATACTCGTTTTTCTTCGATCATTGTGATGCTTAAGAGGTTTAAGCTCATCAAGCAATGGTCATTAGTGATTAATGGAATTCTTATAGGGAGGATGACATGGTGAAAGCAAACTTTGCGAAAGAAAAGCTTGTGAGTGATGATTGGTGGGATAAAGTAGCTTATATAATTGATTTTACAAAGCACATCTATGACATGATTAGAGTATGTGACTCTGATAAGCCATGTCTTCATTTGGTATATGAGTTATGGGATTCCATGGTTGAGAAAGTGAAGTGTGAAATTTACAAGGAAAAACGTCCTCTTTCAAACTTCAATCTTTTTTATCATGTTGTTTATGGGATTCTTATAGCTCGTTGAACAAAGTGTTATACCCCTCTTCATTGTCTAGTTCATTCACTAAATCCAAGGTACATACATAACTTTGTTAGTTTTGAATTTTATATTTTCAATTCCTAGTTCTTTGATGCTATGTGTAATTTTCTTTTTAATATGTTGAAGGTTTTATAGTGATGGTTGGCTAAGTGAGGATCTTTGTAGAGTTGCTCCTCATAGAGATTGTGAAATATCTCGAGAAAGAATGAAATGTTTTCGTAGGCTATTTCCAAATGATGATGATTATGAAAAAGTCTTGGATGAATTTGCTTGTTTCTCACTTAAGCTCGGACCTTTTGAAGTTTTGATGTCTCTTACAAAGAAATATTGTTCGGATCCGAAAAGTTGGTGGGCTAACTTTGGTGCCGAAATCCCATTGCTCCAATCTTTGGCTTTCAAAGTGCTTGGACAACTTACTTCATCCTCTTGTTGTGAAAGAAATTGGAACACTTATTCTTTTATCCACTCACTTAAGAGGAATAAGTTAAATCTGAGTCACGCCAAAGATTTAGTTTACATCCACTACAATCTCTCGCTTGATGAGATAGATTTAGAGAGTCAGTTAATCTCGGAAGATGTTAACAATGTTTGATTTGAGTTTAATATTTTTCTAGACTTAATATTGTGGTTTGAGTCTTAAGATTTGACACTTTAATATTATGATTTGATTATGAATTTTATTATTCTAGAGTTAATATTATTCTAGAGTAAAATCCATAAACAAACCACAATATTAAAATGTCAAATTTCAAGATTCAAACCACAATATTAACTCTCGACATTTCCCTTGACATTTTTTGCCGAACAAATATTCTTCAAGATTAAGTGTATGGACAACACATGGTGTCCAATAAATATGAGGATACATGCTCTCAATAATTTCTCATGCCCCCTTGCAATTAGCTGCATTGTCAGTAATAATTTGCACCCTATTTTGATGAACAACCTCATCAATCACTTCTTTCATCAAATTAGCAATGAAAAACTTATCTTTGACTTCACCAAAACAATTCACCAAAACAATTCACAGCTTTAAGAAACATAGACCCATTTCCAAAAGTAGCCATGAAATTAATGAGAGGCTTTCTTGTTGGATCACTCCAACCATCACACACAATAGTTAACCCTTTTTCTTGCCATGTTGTTTTGATCGGTTGCAAGAGCTTCTCAACATTATTTTTTTCTCGTTGGAGCAATGTGGTTCGTAATTTATTATAACTAGGGGGAACATAACCAGGAATATTATGAGTTGCAACAAAAGTGAAAACCCTATGATAATGAGGATTTTTAACAAGATTAAAGGCCAAACCACAAGTGTAGAACATTCTTGCAATTTCTTCATCTAATTGGGCTCTCGTATTCATGTCGAATGATCTAGCAAGAGGTGACAAGCTAGGTTTTCTCTTCTTAAAAGAAGAATCAATCTCAATTCCAGCTGAAGATTGAGAGGGAAAAGAAACTTCTCTAGTTAATCCTTGTTTCTTTATATTCTCCCACTCTTCTGCCAACCTTACCATTTCAAGTTTTTGATTTGTAGTTACCTTTTTGCAAATTGCAACTCATTCACTTGAAATTTGAAACAGATGTGTCTTTATCCTAGTATAACTTCCATTACGAGTTTCGCCGCAAATGTTACATCGAAAATTCCAAGTTCCTTCAACAGTCCCTCACTTTTATATCTTTGTCACATAATTCCACAATAGAGATAAATTTTCATTTTGGGACGATGAAATTAACCCACTCCCACTATTACTTCCAGTCCCACTACCACTTTGAGATGCCATATTTATACTAAAATAATCTGTTTACATTAAACAAAAAGCAGAATGAAACAAATCAATGAACACATAATGAAAATGAACTAAATAATTTAACAACATAATTAATTGATGAAGCACCAAACTCTAATTTCATCTCGTAATGAAGCACCAAAACCAACAAATTTTTAACAACAATAAATAGTTAAACTAAATAATTTAAAATTAATTTTTCATTATATTTTTCAATCCCCAAACTCAAAGTGCTTCCCTTTCCCGGGCCTTCTTTTGATGAACACAATTAGGAATGCAATGGAGTGAGAGAGTAAATTTTGTCATTGTTTAATAGTTTGTACATTATGTTCTATTATCTTAATAGTTTGTACATTTTGTTCTATAATCTAAAGTTAATACAAGTTTGTACATTCTGTTATATACTTCTATTATCTTTAAATTAAATCATTAGCTAGAAATTCCAAAAAGTTGAATAAATAAAGATGGGAAACAACACATGTTGAATCGAGTGGTTAAAAACTCAATGACTCTTTTGTTGGATTTCAATTTAGAAAGATAAGAGTGAAAACATTGGGAGAGTTTGAACTCGAAAATAAGATTTCACCCCACCTCCAAACTAAACTAAAATTAGAACCCAAATAATTAAATAAGCACCGTGAGAAAGCTTACCTAGTTTCAGTTTGGGACTTGGTGCTTCACTTGCTTCACGGTTTCCTTTGTAAGCGAAGAGGAGAACTGGACTGGAGAAGCGTAAATGCTAACAGCTAAGCACCCCGATCAGATTAGGTTTTATTTTATTTTTAAAAAAAAAATTAATGCAAACTGTCAAAATTGCCCTGGGGACGCATGCGATAGTCTCATACTGTCCCCGAAACGTCCCCAGATCCCGATCGACCATCTCCAAGATTTTTCATCCATACCCTGCCACCGTGGCACGTCCCCGTGCCGGGGACGTATTGGGTACTTGAAACGGGACTGGTATGCCGTCCCTGTGCTACATAGATTCTACCCACTTTTACTTTGTTGGTATGGTTAATATCCACCATCTTTGTGGAGTTTGAGAGCAACCTTGATTACAAATGTGAAATTAAATTTATTTTCTTAATATAAATTTTTTGTAAAAGTTCTGAATCTATATTTTCTTTGGCATGATGTTCCCACTTTTGTAAAAAGCTGCTGGCAGTAATCCTATTGCCAAACAGAAAGATGGCTCTTTGAATTCACCTAAAAAAGTATCACTCCCAGTGGATGCCTGTGAAATATGTAATCTGGAAACAGAGAAGCCGTGTCCAGGAACAGAAGTTAAATGGACAATCGGGTGAAAAGTCTTTTGTCACACCTAGTGTGGTTCCACAGGAGAAACCTATTGTTAAAGACAAACAATTCTGCAAAAGAATCCATCACCTTTTCAAGGACAAAACCAGGCATGCTGCTCAAACCGGCTCATGTTAGAGGACCATCTGTCAACAAGTTCCAGGTTGAAAAGCTGTCACTTACAGTTGAATTAGGAACTCTCCGCAGTATAAAAAGTGGGTTAGACAGTGAAAAGGATATGAATTCTCAAACTAGGCTTGTATCAGAAGATGGAGCTAGAAAATCCTGTGATGGAAAAGATTCAAACATCAAGAGTGATATAGAGAAATCTGAAAAGGTTTCATCAACACTGTCACCACCTAATCAATAAATCTCTAAGTTCCATTCTACACCATGTTATCATTTTATCCAAGTCAGTTATACTTGTGGTCATACATTTGTACGTTAGAAGTTCATGGTTTGTGATTAGTTTCTTCTTACATCCTGTTAACTCTTCTACGTATAAAATTGGATGTATATTGATCCTTATAAATCTCCGAGACAAAATCAGTCCCTGCCAATGATGTCATCCAGGGCGAAATTCAAATTTCTAGAATGGAATCAACTTCAAGTTGTGAGGGAAGCTTTACTGATATTCAGATTTCTAGAGGGGAAGCAACTCCCACTCCTGATGGGCTCGTTACCGTAGATCAAATTTCTAGAGGAGAATTAACCTTCACCCCTGCTAGGATCATTACCGGAAACCAAACTTCTAGACAGGGATCAACCATTACCCCTGAGAGGATCATTATTGGAAATCAAATTTCTAGAAGGGAACCAAATTTGAAATCTAGTGTCATCAATACTGGAAATCAATTTTCTAGAAGGGAATCAAATTTGGCATCTAGTGGCGCCATTAATGGAAATCGAATTTCTATATCAAAATCAACCTCTTCTTGTAATGTGATCGTTACTGGAAACCAAACCGGAAGGGAATCAACTTCCATTGCAAGCGAGGTCATTTCTAGAAATCAACTTTCGAGAAGGGAAGCAACCTCTGCTAATGATAGAAGTGGACCAAATGTTACAATTACTGATATTCACGTTTCTAGGAGGGGATTTAGTTATGCTACTGATGAGAATGTTACTATCGTTGAAAGCCAAATTACAAAGGGCACATCAATCGCTTCTGATGATGGAAACATAACTGAGAGTCTACTGCAAGCTCATGATATATTCTTAAGCACTCTTAGGTCACGCTTGACAAAATTACAGGTAAACTTAGCTGTCTGTGGATATAATTGGCGGATGCATTATAACTGTTGCTAATGTATTAAATTATTGAAAGATGTGAGGTTGTTTGCAACAAACAATGGATTGCAGAATATTATATCATTATTATGGTTTAGAAATGTGCATTTGAATGTAAAAACCTGTGATGGGTGGCAAATTTAAGTTTAGTAAAAAGAACCAGGGAAAAGGAATCTCCATCATGTTTCAGTATTTTGTTTGCCTCTTACATGCATGTGCGTGTGTATATATATATATTCATTCTTTGATTGGATTTCGGAATTGATTTTTTGGTGAACTATAGGTGGTGCGACAATTTTGGGAAAAGAATGACATTGAAGATGCAATTGGTGCCCTGCGGAAACTGCCAGATTATTCTGTGGGTATTTATGGGAAGATTTCATGTGTTGATTTATTAGTATCTAAAGGCTTGTCATCCATACTCTCTCTTACTTATACTCGGCTACTTTCGGTACAGGTGCAAGCAGATGAAATCGGTGGTCTTATGGAAAAAAATGGAGATTCTCACATTAGATCTGTTTTCTGGCCTCCTTCCTGTGCTTATGGGCTTACTAGATAGTAAAACGGAAAGGTAATTTCACAACGAAGTTCTAGTTCTTGGTATTGTTAGTTATTGTACTCCATCCATTTCTGTCAAAAGTTAACTTTTTCATCCCTTGAAAAATAATCCACATTCCTACTTGTGATGTATATAAATATACAGGCATGTAAATATCTCATTGGATATGCTCCTGAAGCTTGTAGCAGTCTTTGGTCCGATGATACACTCAACTGTTTCAGCCCCACGTGGTGTTGGTGTTGATCTGCATGCTGAGCAAAGGTGCCATTATACCTATTTATGGATATATCTCATCTATTATGAATTCGTCGAAGTCGCTATGAACTAATTGTTTTTGAGCAATTGAACACAGGCGAGAATGCTGCAATCAGTGTTTTATACAGCTGCAAAAGAATCAGAAACTTCTTCCCCCACTCGTAAGGTTAGATGCTTAAACGATTTAGCAACATATCCCATTTCTTAATCACGATAACTCAATATCCATATCCTTCGAGTGATGAAACCTTGAGTCGCCTAATTGCTTCCTTGTTAAGTGAGCAGCCAACATGAGCAAACTTCTTTCTGTGTTGCTACAGGACAGGTGGCGTGATAGCAAGATGTGCTCAAGAATTTATTAATCATGGGTTTTGGTAATAAATGTAATTAATTTGTTTTGTTTTTTGAGTAGGTTTTGAAACATGGGGATTAGAGTTGATTATTATTTTTAATCATAAATGCAGCTATGGAGGGAACTTTCTAAGCAGCAAAAAACCTAGTCTTCCTAGATCTGTCTCATGTTTATATATATATATATATATATATTAAGTGGACATGCTTTAGGTGACTTTAAAACCTAATCCAAGTTATAGCCAACATGATTAGGAACCGCACTTCACCTTCCCCACCATAGCCATGAATATATATATATATATATAGGTGTATTCATGTATACACTATAAAAATTTAATAATTTTATACTGGTTTAAGATTATTATATAAATAAAGTTGCTAATTGATATTATATTTTTTATTTTTAACTTTTAATCTCAACCATCTGCCATCAATTTATATTTATCTAACTTTTTAAAACTTAAATTATAATTTAAAAATATACGACGTAATTCAACTATATATATATAATTGGAATAAACCATTTTGTATATGATAATGTAATAAGAATCTACCGTCCCCATGTGGTGTTAACACCAAATATTGCAGTTTGTTTTATAGACAGTTCGGAATAAAAAAAAACAATTGATTTTTGACCCGAATTTTGCAAATCAGATGCGAAACATGTGCTATCAAACAACGTGTGGCATGCACGATTGATTGATGATTTCCACCATTTCTGCACGTGTGTATCTTTAATTTGATTTATTGATTCAATAGTTGAATCGAATATTATAAAAAATTATAATTTGATTTCTTTAATTTGTAATAATATATATTGAATCTGTAATTTTATACAAAAGGTCTAATGTCTAAAGAGACGAATACAAGATAAAATAACTTTTTAATCGCCCCATATGAATTAAAATAAGGGTAAATTACACCCGTCATCATTGAATTTTACTCTCTCTCTCTTTCATTTCACTTACTGTACTTTAAATTCATTTAATTTTTCACTGAATATAATATATTTGGTTTTTTTCACTCCGTCGTTAAATAGTCAACGGCCTTAAAACGACATTGTTTTAGAAAAACGAAATTTTCACCAAAACGAAGCCGTTTTACATCTATATAATAGTCAATTTATAACGTCATTAGTGAGGAAACGACAGAGTGACTAAAAAAATAAAATGTATTAAGTTCAATGAGGAAATTAAATGGACTTGAAGTACAACGAGTGAAATATGATAGAGTAAAACTAATGATGATTCGTATAATTTTCACTTAAAATATTTCAATCTACTTCGACCCATTTTTGATGTTTAAAGATGTCCTCCGCCTCAAATAATTTCCAACTTTATTATACAAAATAAAGAGATTATTAAAATTTATTAAAAGAGACATTATAATAGTTAATCATATATATATATATGGTGACCAATTGAGATGATGTTGTACTTAAATATTATTTTATGAAGACCATACATATAATTATATTCATTCACCAAATATTCATTTAATAAAAGGTAATGGAACTGGTTAAGTAGTGCCAAAGCACATCATCACCATCATGTTTAATTTTAAAAACAAAAACAATATTTGGTCACCCTACCTAATTGCCATTTTAGCTTGAGCATTATACATATACAAAGTTTAACGTGTTATTAATATTCTCAATGATAACGCATGCACAATGTCAACATTATTTTCCACTAACAATACATTTGCCACAATATTGGTTAAGTATTTTTTTTAATTGCTACATACGTATACATAATGACACAATTCAAAAATAGGTTTGTGATCTCTATTTTTTTAGGTAAAGTATACAAATGGTTTTCTAATTATAGGGTATTGTTTTATAGAGTCTCTCGACTATAAAAGTTACAAAATGATACTTCAACTATAAAGTGTTATTTGGGTTATTTGACTATTAAAAGTTACAAAATGGTCACCTAACTATTCATTTCAATGTCATCATTTTCCTTTAAAAAATTAACGGTCATTTGAACTGGAGGTTAACATGATGACTAAAATATTATAGTTGTTTGAGATTTTATGATCATATAACTGTCAGTAGGTTAACGCTCAGCTTAGAATACTGTCATTTTTTAACGGAAAAGGACGAATTTGGAACATAATGAATAGTCAGGAGACCATTTTGTAACTTTTAATAATCGAGAGACTTAATAAAATAGTACCCTATAATCGAATGACCATTTTAAAACTTTCTATTTTTAATGTGGTGGTAATTTAAGGTTATACACGTTCAAATACCAAATAAAATAACGTATTATCTCTTAAAACTTAAATTTAAATACTTGATAAATTATTAATTTGAAAATTTTAACTTCTCTTGATGTTCAATTTTGACTCCAACCGAATTTAATAGTTTCGAAGAATTTGATAATTAATTAGTGTTTCAGAAGACTAGTTATTATTAGTGTTGATTTTATTTTATTTCTGACTTCAAAATTTTCAATTTTTACTACAAATTTAGTAAGTGTATTATAGATTTATTTTCTTGTTAGTTTGTGGTTTAAATCTTTTGATTTAAAATTCATATCAATTTTAATTTTATCATATTTATATTTAAGATTCAAATCATGAACTTGAATTTATAAAATCATATGAATAACGTTTTTTCAAAACCTAATTTTATCTTATCAAATTAAATTAAAATCTGCTAATTTCAAATTATATTAATACAAATAATTTATACGTAAATCGTACCACCGTGGTTCTCACATTAGGATTATCATCAATAATTATTGGATAAATTAAGCGTATAGTATCTAAACTATTAATTTTTTTATTTATTTTAATACTTAAAACTTTTATTTTTTTTAAAATTATACATAAAGTTTAATTTTTATTTTATTTTAGTACACTTATTCAAAGTTTAACGTTAAATTTTGAGGAAAAAATAAAAGTTTAGGTATTAAAACGAACAAAAATTGATAGTTTATGTACTAAACACGTTAATTTTTTAATGGTGGAATACTAAAATGAAACAAAAATTAAATGTTGAGAATGATTTTTAAAAAATTAAAAGTTTTGGTACTGAAACGAACTAAAACTGATAATTTAGTAACTAATTGTGTATTTACCCATAATTATTTTGGGCGATTAAAGATTAATGATTAATATTAGTATAATTTACTGGAGGGGAAGAAAAAAGTGAGACATACGCCACCAATGTTTCTGGTTGCAGCTGTTGCCATTACATGAAAAACGATTCCTTTACTTGCGTGTTTTTCCTTATATAATCTAGTAACTAATTGTGTATTTACCCATAATTATTTTGGGCGATTAAAGATTAATGATTAATATTAGTATATTTACTGGAGGGGAAGAAAAAAAGTGAGACATACGCCAATGTTTCTGGTTGCAGCTGTTGCCATTACATGAAAAACGATTCCTTTACTTGCGTGTTTTTCCTTATATAATCAAAGCGAATGTGCTTATTCGGGAACCATCGGCGATTCATCTCTCGACAACTCATAAGCCCCAAAACCCGAAAGCTTCATTCCACCATACCAAAGCTTAATTGCTAAAACCAAAGGTTCTCCCTTTTGTTCCTTCGGATGCTTTCCTTTGAAACGGTGGCGTACCAGCGTTGCTTCACCTGTTTTTGCTGATCCATTCAACTTGGTTTCATTGAATCAGACGACCCTTGTTATCACAATCTTTGTTTACTTTTACTCTTTTTTATAGCTTCAGCTTTGATAAACCATTTCGACTCCGTTTTTTAAATGGTGGGTGGATCAAGATCCGGTAATAGTTGATAATCATTCAGTTTCTCTTTGGTTTTTTTTCCCCAAAAAATAGAAACTTAGCTGTTAAAACTGTTGTTATTCCTCTTGATAATTTCATTTTGGTTATAAATCTCAGCAAGGTGTTTAAAATAGTAATACCCACTGCCTTAGATCTAATAGATACTCAAACAAACTCTTTGTTTTGTTTCAAAGTTATCTATTCCCCCCCCCCCTTATTTGAGGACAGATTCATATTAGTTACTGGGATTCTGTTATGCTTCTCTTCTAGATTCTTGGGTGTCGGTCGAAATTTCTAAAGTTAGAATGGCAATATAAATAACACTTATTAACCCCTTTGTCCATTTTGAGACGGCACATGCATGTGCACAGGCTTCAACTTGTTTAAGTTTTAAGCATAAATATTTATATATTTTTTGCTTTGCATGCTATTTCCTTGCAGTTTTTTTAGGGTATTAGAAAAGCGCTGATTGTATGAAGACATTTCAATCATGGAATGCACTGGTCAAGAAAAGAACTGCTTTGTTTGAGGGGGTATGTTCTTTCTTTTACTTTAAGCTTGAAGGTCGTTGGGGGATAGAAATTTCAGTAGCATTTTAGTTTTAAAGTTTCTAATTCTCTGATGCTGTTGCAGGGAAACTGCGGGTTTAAAATGAATCAGCTTCGATTTATGGGAGTTATTTGTACAGTTATGTTGTTCATTGTGTATAGAACCACAAATTATCAATACCTTAAGACAGAGGTATTTCAACTTCTATTTTTGTCTAGATTTTAATGGTTTTGATTTACATTTAGGACAAAAATGGATTTGTTATTCCTCACATTGTAGTGCTCAGTTGGGCTCTTTTGTTACCTTTTAGCTCACTAGTTTCGTATCGGCGAATGATTTATTTAAGCTTTTGCACCTTCTGAGGGTTTGCTACAGCTGTGTTCTATTCTCTTTTAAATTATTTTTTTCTTATTGTCAGATGGAAACGAAATTTCACCCATTTGAAACAGTAAAGGTAAACTACATTGTCATTGTTCGGCACATGTTTGAGAATAAGTTGATTAAGCGCTTGCATTATGTGCTGTTTAAGATTCATTTCCTTCATTGTCATTGTTTCCTTGGCTCATGCGTTGTGTATCATTTCTATTACCAGTCCGGGAAACTAATATATATGTTTGTGCGTTGGTTGTGCCTAGAATTATCGATTGCATCATGGGAAATTAAGAGGTTTGCCTCGTGGCATAATGCAAGCTCGTTCAGATTTGGAACTAAGGCCTCTGTGGTCAAGCAATTCGCAGTCAAGGGTGAGACTCTAATCTGATTGTATGCTAGCATGAATTTATGCATACAGCCCACTTTGTTGTTTTTCCTCTTTAAATGGAAACAGTAACAGATGGCTATTTCATTGCAGGCTAGTGTTATGACAAACAAGAACTTGCTAGCAATGCCGGTTGGTATCAAGCAAAAATATAATGTTGACGATGTGGTGAAAAAGGTAGTGCATATTGTCCTTTTGGTTTTCAAATTTGATGAACTGCAGATTCTTTTCCTAATTTTGTTGAATTCAGTTTCTTGCAGCGAATTTTTCCATTATTTTGTTTCATTATGATGGCAATGTGGATAGATGGCGGGATATTGGTTGGTGTGAGAAAGCCATTCACATAGTAGCTGATAACCAAACGAAGTGGTAAGGCTCACTGCAGGTTAAAGGATTCTTTGTTCTATAATGCACATTGGTGGATGTGTATGTTCATATTGACATTTGATGGAACTTCTTGATTGAATTGCCAAAATGGTCTGCCCTTTTTGCTACTTCAGTATGACATTTCTTAGGTTTACAATTTCGTTTTGATCGGAACATCGAATAAGCTTTGTGATCTCTTCCCTCTTTCAGGTGGTTTGCAAAGCGCTTTCTGCATCCCGATATTGTGTCTTTTTATGACTACATATTTCTCTGGGATGAAGATTTGGGAGTCGAGTACTTTGACCCTGTAAGGTAAATGACTTTGATGACATTTCTGTTATTTGCAATTTCTCGATGTTCTATTTCCTTTACAGGATATTATGTGTTCTTCGTTTATAATATAATCTTCTGTATGGTTTTATCTTCGAGACAATGTTAGTTTAATCTTTCACTTGGTCACTATTTGTGCTTTGTGAGGCTTTTGCTTGTTGTTTAATGACAGTAGCATACTTCCATTTCGGGTAAAATTTGAGCATTTTGATTAATTGGCTAGTCTTCCTTTTCCAGGTACCTAAGAATTGTGAAGTCTGAAGGTTTAGAGATTTCTCAGCCAGCTTTAGATCCAAATTCAACTGAAATACACCACAGAATCACGATACGTGCAAGAAAGAAAAGGTTTCACAGGTAAGCAGGATGGTCTATGACTATTCACAAAAGGTTTGCATATTGTTGCTTGTATAATACTTGCATGAAAATTTTTGACTGTTGCAGGAGAGTCTATGATCTCAGAGGTAAAACAAAGTGTTCGAATGCAAGCGAGGGGCCACCATGCACTGGGTGAGTAATTTTATCATCATATTCTTTGGTAAAGTCATCTGACTATCGAGTAGAATAGACTGAGGATAAATGTATTGATGAAATTCTTGAAGAATATCTAGTTCCATTATCAGGTTAATCATCACTATACAAATTTTAGTCATTCATATTACCTTTGTAGATTTGTGGAGGGAATGGCTCCTGTGTTTTCTAGATCTGCCTGGTATTGTGCATGGCATCTCATACAGGTAAGTTTGCATGTTGTCCTCGTCTGCATCGAAATTTAACGTTAACACCGTTGATTCTTTCTTTCATTTTCTCATTTAGCATTTTCTTTTCTTTTCTTTTTTTTCTCCCTTTTTTCCGTTTTAGAATGATCTTGTACATGGATGGGGAGTAGATATGAAACTCGGGTATTGTGCACAGGTAAGATTCACTCAATGCTATTTTTTGCCTGCTTAGTTAACCATTTTAATTCCTCTTTCCGCATACAGCTTATAAATATAATATTTTTTATCATTATATATATGGTTTTACTCAGGGTGATCGCTCAAAGAAGGTCGGCGTGGTTGATAGCGAGTACATTGTTCACAAGGGTATACAAAGTTTGGGTGGTAGTGGCCATCCCACAATGAGGACAACCGTAAAGGTTCTGCTTCAACTCCTCCCCTTCTCATAATTGCCTGTCGGATTCATCCAGGCCATCGTGCTGCACTAAATTTATTATAATACATTTGGTTTTTTAATGCATTTTCCCACTGATGTGCAGAGACATGGGGCTTCAAGTTTCGATCTAAGAACTGAGGTACAGTAGCTCTGTTCACTAACATTCCCTTGTTTTAGTTCTTCCGGCAAAGAGAAATTTGGCTTCTACTATACATATTGCTAATAAGTGGCTTTAGTGCTTAGGCAACACTCCTCTTGGTTAGCACACGAACATTGATAATTCTCGATATTTCGATGCTCATTGCTTCTTACGTGTAAGCTAAAGATGAACGAATATGATACCCCGAAGAATAGAGATACAGCATGGCCTTGTGGGACATGGTTTTGCTTAGATTCTTTCCATAAATGAATTTTGATAAGATCGCTGTTGCAGATTCGGAGGCAGTCCACTTGGGAGCATAAAGCGTTTAAAGAACGATGGAATCAAGCTGTGGAGGAAGACAAGGATTGGGCGGATCCATTTCTAAAGCATCAAAGGCGCAGCAGACAACAAAACCGACAAGAAGACTAAGTTTTTTAGCTCATGGTTTTTTAGTTTTGGGGGGTTTACTTGCAACATACAGCTACAGTTGAAGTTTCATCCTTGACTGTATATTTTCTAGTTCATAGAGCAATTTGTTGGATGATATTCGATTATTTCATTATTTGAATAATTTTTCTTACCATTTCATTCATGGCGGATACCTTCCAACTCTCAGATTTTATGAACATGAACAAATAAAGATGACTATAGCTTAGCATCTTGTCTTGTAAGAATCAATGTACAAAGATATAGAAACGATTATAAACTGGAAGAGTTCCAGCTAGCATCAACAGCTCCAATTATTCTTTCATGTAGTTTAACTCCACAACAGGCAATTATACCTCGATCGAGACCTTCCAAGAACATACCTCTTGAAAACTCCTGTCGAGATCCTCCTGCATCAGTTACCACGCCACCAGCTTCCTCTATGATAATCACACCAGCTGCATGACCCCATATCTTTTCCTTGTACCCCGTCCTCGCAAACTTCATAAATATTTCGGCATCGCCTTGAGCTATCGCTGCGTATTTCACCATACTGTGTACGCGCAGTGGTTTCTTTCTGCATTTGAAAACATAATCATTACTTGTTTTGTCACACAGCTGATGCATGTCATTCTTTAAACGCAGTGGTTCCATCATGTATTATGTGCATGTACCTAAGGCCGACGCTTTGTGCTAATCCAGCGGTGAAGGAGTGGCTTGAGTTCGACTTCTCAACTGGTTCACAGAAAGTAGCCAATGCCGGATTATCAACAGAGGATACTCGAACCGGTATTGCAGAGTTCGGCCATGACAACGGCTTATTCTTCGGTTGTAAAGGTTGCATCCAAGCCTCGCCTCTACCTCTTCTTGCATAGATAACACACCCTTTATCCCATGATTCAGATGTTGTCGGGGTCAATTTAGATAATAGCGGTGGTGATAACTTAGCCATTCCTTCTTCATCGGATGGTTCGGACAACCTAGAACACCGAGCACAACTTCTCCATCCTCTATTAATGCTAAAGCCACGGCGAACTGATCACCACGAACAAACCCCAATGTACCATCAACGGGGTCTAGTGCCCAAAACCTTCCAGTGGGCCCCCCGTCGAATTGCATCAACTAATGGCTTCGAGAACATCAGAACTCCCGAGCGGCGTTTCCGGACCCTTGAATCCAAAATGAGGTGCCCCGGTTAGACAGCCATTGACTGTTTTCACTACGGCAGCTAACAATGCTGATGAATTAGGTTCGAAGAGGCTTCGAACATCTTCTTCGGCAAGAATACACATTCCGACACCCGAAGGATTCGGATAGTATCCAGCTTACGGTTGCTTGAACACTCCAGTCTGGTTGACACAGTGTAACAAAGATGATTAGACTAAGTTGAATGTTGTGACTGGTACCAGATACTTTCACATGAAATATGAAAATTCACCATGGATCATATTTCGGATACTAGTGTCAAGTACAGATATTTCAAGAAAAACTAAGAATTCGAATAAAATAAGCCATATAAATTTAATCCCTTTTCAAGATTCCTAATTTAAAGTGCCAACAGATTGTGTTAAAAGATTAAAACAACATTTTGAACCACCAAATATGCAGAAGAAACAGCATTATCTCAAGAACGCCACCAAATTCAAAAAAAATGGATAAAAATTACCTGCCACAGTGACAGGAGAATTGTCATCTTTGGAATGAACAGAACTGCTGGTTTTCAAAATCAAACTATCCTGAATTTTCTGACACAGTGAGCATGCCATCTGGATAGCCCTGACAGCAACATCCAATTCCTTGGAATATCTGTCTGGTCCTGGAGATGTAAGAACCAAATTCCTTTCATCTTTCATCACTGAAGAAGAAAGAGAAGGGTGGTTTTGGTTAAATTTTAGCTGAGAAACAATGCGGAAGCGCCTCTTTTGGTTGGTTTTCTTCATACTCCATGGGTTTAGCTGAGAAACAATGCGGAAGCGCCTCTTTTGGTTGGTTTTCTTCATACTCCATGGGAACAGAGTTTCTACATAGGTTGCTGCTGGTAATTTCTTGGTGTTGGTTATCCTGGTTTGTCCCAGAATATTAATGGCTCTGAAAACCAGGCCAGTGGAATTTAGAGCCATAATGATTAGAGACACTCACCTCTCCACCACTTTGTGGAGTCTAAATATATATATATATATATATATGTGTAGGCCCAAGTCAGCCTTGCCAAACCCACATATGCAAACAAGGTTAGGGTTTCGTGGCTTCCCCTTTTGCGCCGCCTGACCAGCTTTCGAAAGATAAACTGGCGAGAGTCCCAGCCGCAACCAACTCTCATTCCACCTTTCCCGGCGACGTGTCCTCGTGGGGCACCAACAAGCAACAAAAAATAAACGTTTTAGTTCCAATAGGAAACGCTAAAAGTAGGTTATTTTTTACTATATATGCACATGTAACTAGACTCAGAGGGGAAAAATACAAGTAGAAAATATGGGGAGATTCGAACGAAAATCAGAAAAATACCGAAGAAAAAATAAAGGGAAAACAACATAAAAGCGAGAGGAGAAGCTTACCTTGGTCGGCGTAACGTCGGGAATGCCAAAGGTCACCAATTTCTCGATTTATTTTTGAAAGGTAATTCCTAGATCTACGAGTTTAGGGGGATTTTTAGGTGAAACTAAGTTGGTTTTCGGGTTGGTGAAGGTGAGAGGAAGTTTTTGGGGGTTTGGGTTTAATCTGGTCGTCGTGTGCCGCCGCGAACCGCCGTGACTAACGCCGACGGCGCCTATCTTTTCTTCCCGGTAAAGGGAAATTGATAGAGTTTTTTAGAAACTCTCTCTTTGTTTTGAGAAAATGGGAAAATGAGGGAAAAGATGAGAAATTAAGCCTTGTATGTAGGCTTATATGTCCTCCACGAAACGACGTAGTTTCAAAGAGGGACCTGTTTGCACTTTTGCGCGTGGGTAAATCCCACTTTTAGGCCTGTAAACGAACCGAACGCACACGAACAGAGGTATGTTCATGTTCATTTCTTTAAAAAATAAATGAACATAAACGAACACGAACATAAACGAATTTTTTTTTGGTTCATGTTCGTTTATTAAGGAATATAACTTGTTCATGTTCGTTCATTTAATAAATAAACGAACAAAAACGCGCACGTACATAAACGAACACGAACATAAATGAACACGAACATAAATGAACATAAACGTTGGAGACCCTACCTAGGGGTGTAAACGAGTCAAGTCGAGCTCGAGTATTGCTGAGCTTGACTCGAACTCGAAAACTTTCAAAGTCAGCTCGGCTCGACTCGAAAACTCGCGAGCTTAAAATTATCAAGCTCGACTCGAACTCGAAATATAATATTGAAACTCGACTCGAACTCGAAAAGGCTATAACTCAAAAAACAATTAAGAGCTCGATTAAAACTCGAGACTTGAGCTCGATTCAAGCTCGATTCAAGCTCAATTCTAAGCTCAATTCAAGCTCAATTCAAGCTCAACATTGCCCCAAGTGCAAAGATGCTTAAACCTATTCTCCCCCATCTTCTTTTATATAAGTTACCAACCCCGAGCTGCTTATTTGCTACTGATGTGGGATTGCATAATGTTCCTCCACTTTCTTTCTTCCTATCTCATTCAACAACAGTCGAGATGAACACAGATTGTGTTTTATGTGATTGCCAACCTTAATCCTTGGGGATCAAATAAACATGTCCTTAGCTTCGTTCTATGTAGAAGTTCAAAATTGGGAAATGAGAGAAGTAGGTTGGCTAAACTTCCATATCTGGATGGCGCACAAAATTTGTTTGATGAAACGCGTTAAAGAACTTCTCAACCTATGGAATAAGGCCTTACCATTATTGGGTTCTTGAGTCAAGTAAGGTGACTTGAGTTACTGGTTGATCCTATTTACTTGTAAATTCGAATACTCCATTAAATGAAAGAAAAGAAGATTATTTGAGTAGAAGAAACGGTACTTAATACTTAACATCCCTTCGGGAATCCATCACCTTTAGACTTGGTTTCGAAAGCAACCGGTTTCTGGGACTCCTCTTTGCTCATCGGATAACTAGCTGGTGGTGCAGTCACATAGGGTTTCGGCATAGTGGATGTTGACGGCGCTGGGTATGCAGCTTATGGATCGTCCAAAATGAACTAAACCATGTTAATATTGTTGGGTTTTCCAAATAAAATTGGGTTAATTATAGAGTTGGTCATCAGAATATCAATTAATTAATATTAAGATACTTACAATTGATCACCAAAATTGATTTAAGAAGATTGGGTTAAACAAATGAATGAAATAAACGAACATAACCGAACGAACATAACAGAACGAACATAACCGAACGTTCACGAACATAAATGAACGAACGAGACCTATGTTCAGGTTCGTTCATTTAATTAAACGAACACAAAATCTTGTTCATGTTCGTTCATTTAATAAATAAACGCACATAAACGAACTTCCCGCCGCACGGTTCATGAACGATTCGCTGAACGTTCAGTTCATTTACAGGCCTACCCACTTTGGGTCCCTCTATCATTTGTAATATTTCATTTTAGTCATTGAATGATGTTTTGTTTTCTTTTATTTCGAGTACTGATGTTTTAATATTTTCAATTTAGTCATGTTATTGTACAGTGTGTTATTATTGTTAATTTTTTAATTTGGTTACAATGTTTGCAATTATTTTATTTTGGTCACTATAATTTATATTTTTAATTATTTCGATTTTTAATCTGTAATTTTGGATAATTTATATTTTAGTTCTAATGGTATGGGTTTATTATGTTTTAGTGTTTGCAATGTGTTGTATTTTTTTATTTTGTTTTTTTAGGCATTAGCTTTTCGATTTTATTAATTAGTCCCCTAACCTTTTTATTTTTCTCTTGCATCCTATTTTTTAGCATCAATTTGGTTTGTAAATTTTAATTCATCCCTATTTAATCCTTTAATTCTTTTTATTTTTATCTCACCACCACTGGTGTGCATATATCTCCCTGTGATAGGAAAAATTTGGATAAAGTGTGGGAGTATAATTATTTTGTCTCTCCAACTGGATGGAAATGAAGCCTAAATTATTAACGTTTCATTAAAAAATATATCTACATCATTCATTTGATTTGGCTCAACTTTTCCCTTTTTCAACTTTTTGACTTTTTTTCCTTTTGAA